CCTAGAAAGGCGGCGAGAACTTTATCTAGGTTGGCGTAATCGTCAACCTCCTAAGCGGTGGTGAGAGGAAGGACACGGTAAATTAAAATGATACACACTGGGTCACGCTCATCGCCAACTACTGACACGATCTGGTGGTATAGATCCCCTGCAGATTGTCGTGTAAGGCAAGAAAAGCGATTGAAGCGGGCAGGGTACGCGCTGTGGACTCTGACGCAGATATCGAGTCCTTGGCCTGTGACCAGCAATTTGTGGTGAACCTACCATCACCTGCCAGAAGCCTGATGAACGCGTTCCCGATTCGCGAATTGCGTGAACTGGAGTGTGAGGGTTGGGATTATGAAAGTGCGCACCAACTCGGAGTCGTCCAGCTTGACCTCGCTCTCAGTGGCCTGAATAAGCATCGAAAACGCATCCGTCCTCTGTGTGGATCTGCTGGATCCAACATCCGCCTTCCGCTCCGCAAACTGCTCCCGCACGAGCGCCCCTACTTCGCCCTCTGTCTGGCTTAAATCTGAGGTTCACATTGATTTCGTGTTCGAAGGGAGGGCAGAGGTGAGGTCCACCAGGGGAGCGGCAGCCGCAGCAGCCACCGTGGCACGAACAATGCCCCTGCAGCGCCATCCGCCCATCCGTGGTACGCAGGGATTCGTCCCAAGCGAAGTGACAACGAAAACCGCACTTCGCGATGACCAAATGCGTAGCCTGTGGTCATTGTCTTGTTGTAAGGTGGGCGACGCGTGCGTAGAGAGGAGCAACAAAAAGGTTGAATGTTAGGGTCTGCAACACGGGGACAGTGGCGTGGGCCTGCGTAGCCCATCCCTCTTCTGCAGCCATCTCGCGGTACGTCTTGCGTGTCTCGGCACATATACCGCCTTGTAGCTGCAGAAGTGATTGAGACACCGGAATGTTCATCACGGTGCGCATATATGCACAGTTTGTTGTTGAAGGCAGGGTCCATGATACGTCGGTGCTTCCGTCACATACTGCCGCTCGCCGCGAGGATATTCATTCCCTTATGGCTGTTGGGATGTCAATTGCAATGGGGAGAGAGAGAAAAAATCTGTGAGACGTACGCTCTGTCCTCGGTCGCGTCCTTTAGTTTGTGAAATCCCCTACCGCCGCCTCCCATAGAATCTAGTGGGCCACATCCTTGTCACGAGTGTATGTGGCGGGTTTTACGGGAAAAATAAGGACGAATAAGATCGTGTCGATACCATAATTGTCGATAAACTGCAATGTTATTTGTGTGGTTTGTTGACGCGAAGCATTATGGTACTCACTGGTGTTGCGCTAGTTTCCACGAGAAGTCGAAATCAGGGTCCCACCACGTCGTAAGAATGAATGCACCGGGTAGGGTGGATGGATGGAAATGAGCACGAACTCTTGGAATGTAGCCTACAGCCTTTCACAAAAAGGATACTCGTTCAATATGCATGCATTCAAGGCCCATTTCCCCATGAGCGCGTGTACCCTCAGCCCACGGCTGTATTTCCCAATATGTTCCCGACATGCTGCGAAACGTTGGCGGGGTTGGCTGTCACTTGGTTGGTCTCGGCCAAGGCCTTGTGCCACCTTGAGATGAACTTACTAAGGGTCATGAGTCCGCGACACTCGGGAAATGACTCGATAAACCGCAACACGATGCTTAATGAAAGATAGAGCGTGTGATTTGAGGCTGGGCGCATTGTGTAACGAATAATAATCGTTTGGGGGAAGGGAAGTTACAGCACTGCGGCTGTTGCACAGCAGTCCGATGGACCGGGTTGCGCTGAAATCGCGGAGCTTGAAATTCTTGCGCCGTGTTGTGCTTCAAGTGGATTCAGAAGTTGGGGTTCAGAGAAACTTGGTGAACAATTAGTGAAACTCATGTCATTGCAAGGCATTTCATTTACATGTACATTGCTTCGGTGATACCAAGTACAGATAGCTGGCTGTGTTTATACGACAATAGCCACTGAATAATCTCAACTCCTCCGACGAACAAACTTTACCGGGACATCCTTGACACCAAGAGTAATCCCAAGTTTAGCATCCAGCACGCGTTCCTTCCACTGCGTCGTTGTCTCCTTTCCGCGCAGCGTAGGCACGATCCTGTAGTCCCGCAGGAGCATGGTGAGGAAGCACACAGCCTCCGTAGTAGCAAACTTGCGGCCGATACACGTCCGGGGGCCTATGAGTATTTGATTTAACTATTAGGGATAAGAATGCGAGATTGAGACGCGCCTATGCTGAATGCTGTGAACGCCTCAGATTCGATAGGCATGCCGTACCAACGCGAGGGCCGGTACTCCTTCGGGTTGTCGAAGTAGCGCGGGTTGTATTCTGAGTTAGGTAACATATGACATGTTTGAGGCGTTCTGGTAGATACCAGGAGGGGATAAGATACGTACGAAGCCCAATCATGTCGACGACGACCTGTGAAATGATCGGGGATGAGGGAGACGGGGGGCGATCGTGAAACTTAGTATGCATACCAAAGTCCCCTTGGGTACAGGGATTGTCTTATCCCCCTCTTCGCCCCGCGGGTTGGGGATCTGGAGTACTGTGTCCTCAAATGCCGTTCGAATCAGCAGATATCCCGATGCTACCATGATACACATGATGAGCATTGACGCGGAAACTAACAGCTGACCGTATACGTACGGAATAATCGCAGAGCCTCTAAAAATGCGGAGAGGACTTTGTCAAGTTTCCCATAGTCGCCGTGCACCTAGGAGACTGTAATGATACAGGAGAGAGATATGACGCGAAGAGCCACTCACCGGGTCACGCTCATGCCCAACCACTTCAACGATCTGTTGGTATATTTCTTCCTGTAAATCGTCGTTCATGGCAAGAAAACCAATTGTTCCCGCAAGGGTGTGAGCGGTGGTTTCTGTGGCATTTTTAGAGTTCTACGGTATGCACTTAACAGTGTCATTGTGCGCTTACCGTGTCCCGCCAGAAGCATGATAAACACATTGCCGATCTAGAGGTAAATCAGTAGATATAATCATCTTGGATTCATGATAAATATTGTGAAACTAATGCTCACCAGTTCCGAGTCATCCAGCTTAAATTTACCCTTCTCATTCTCGCTAGCTTCGACAAGCATGGAGAATGCGTTGGTGTCCTGAGCAGAGTCTGTACAGCCTTGTGACCTGATGTCGGCCTTGCGATCTGCCACCTGCTTCTGCATGAATTCCATAATTTCCTTGTTTGCCTCGTTGAGTTCTCTAAATCTGTATAGACAGCCACAGTTCAATCAGCTTGTGCATTGTCAAGAGTATAATCAGGCTAGCCTTTTGAAAGGCAGCTTCCGGACCCATTTGGGCACGAAAGAGGTGATTAAGATCGTTTCTGAGACGACACGGAATGCCTCCTGCAGAGACATGCGTCCGTCTGCTGTGCGTACGGGTTCGGACCAACTGAAGGAGAAACCAAAGCCGCATTTTGAAATGACTAAGAGCGCTACCTGGAGGCTGTACTATTGAGAGGGAGTCACGGTCTTAAGGAAGAGAGAAACTGACCTTGAACGTCAGTGCTTGCACTACGGGAACGCTGATTTGGTCTCTCCCGGCCCATCCCTCATCTGCGACCATATCGCGGTAGGTACGCAGTGTTGTTATCCACACCGCCTCATACCTTGCCGCGTAATCGGTAAGAACACTGGGGTCAGTTAATGTTCACGTTAGAAATTACGCACAGCTTATTGTTGAACGCGGGGCCCATGATGCGCCTATGCTTTCTCCAGACCTCTCCCTCGGCAGCAACAAGGTTCATTCCCCATTGCCTATACCAAAGGTCAGCGGCGCGAAGGAGGGCCGGAAAAATCGACCGCACTTGATCCCCGTACTGGCTTCCGGTGGCTTATGGAACCCCTTCGTCCCGCCGCTCGCTGTGACTTGTCGCACCACATCAATGTTGGCTGTGTGAATGGCCGATGGGCCCACGAGCAGCGATATAAACGATATGGTATCGTTCCCGTACCGTTCATAGACTTTAAAAAATGAGCATTATCAATATCTACATGAGCTGGCACGAGAAAGCTCACCGGTATGACGACGTTTCCACGCGAAGGCAAAGCCGGGGTTCCACCACGTTGACGGAATGAATGCACCTGGGAGCGTGAATGGATGAAAGGCGGCGCGGACGCCTGGGATGCAGCCAACAACCTGCGAGTTCCCTGTGAGAGCCCTGATCCAAAAGCGTGCCAAACACGCACCTTGAGTCCTCGTCGGTACGCCAGTATCTTGGAAACAACGAACACAAGAAACAAAGCGATAAGTATGTTTTGAACAGTGATACGGTTTTTGTCGACCGGCGGCATAGCTATATGAGGGTTCGCGGACGACATAGCCCAAATCCAACAGTAAAAAAGTTGAGGGCAAAAGCGAGGTATGCCAGGTCGTGGAAGGCGACGGTTTTCTGCGAAGGATATCAAGTTGATAAAACCATCTCGTCGACAATTTCAAGGGCTTTGGCATTGAAACGGATGATCGTGGCACCGAATGAATTTGATTCTTATCCATGTATCGTGTCCACAGTATTCCTCGAGATTCCTCGACCCTGACGTTTCAGACTGCCCGGCGAGTCGCTTCGAGTCCACACTGACATTTACTTACAGCAGATTGGTGGCGGCCCAGATATCCGCGCGAGCAGGCCTAGCGGCGGCCGTGCTTTCGTGGGTAGACAAGCCGCAAGTGAAATTTAAGTGCTTCAAGCTCTAACGGTAGGGAACACGCAGCGGAGAGTCGCCGAGACAGACGCGAGCGTGATCTCGAGCGTCCGCGGACTCCGGAGTTCGTCGGATCAGCCAGCCAGCGCTACCTTTCTCCTCCCGCCTGCACATCCGGCGCTTATACTTACTAGTAGCAATACGGGACTTGTAGTCTTGTACAGAACGCGTTTTACACACAAAAAAAAACACTAAATATCCCCATCCTCACTGCATACCTGGCCCCTGGCCCACAATGAATATGTGGCTCACAAAAAAATATTTAAGCAAAAACGATTTAAACCGACGACGGGACTCGAACCCGCAGCCTCTGCCTGAATTCCAACCTCTCATCGATAGGAAAGCAACGCACTACCTTTGTGCTACGACGGCTTATGTCGGCGGCGGCGGCGGGCCCACTCTCAGATTCGCGCAACGTAAACGCCATATACAAATGAAGCAAAGAGGGGCATGAAGAGGCCAATAACGAAAACAAAGTAGTCAGGTAGGCAACAAGAAGGCCAAGTTTACGTTGCATCCGGGACGGTCGGTAGTACACAGAATTGCTTACATCAATTGACTTGCCAGCTCCTCTTGGCCGCTTTTCTCTTGTGGTTGGTCCTCGTCGTACTGGTCGGCTGGCAGATACCGGAGGTTAAGCCATTAGCAAGTAATACAGATGTGATTGTGTGCAGACAGTAAGGAGCCCCCGTGGATAATGAGACAGTGGAAATAGGATTGAAGCAAGGAAGAGACGAGCACCTCCGATCCAAAAATAAACGCATTGGTGTGTTCGCGCGCCGCCCCAATACGAATCTCAAACTGTTATTCAAGGCAGCGTCGATTTCCATCGTCCTCTTCCGCCTTGCTGAGAACTACCAGAGCTGTTCTGATAGGGACATCTACGCTAACTCCGACGGCCTAACAACTGAATGCTCGTGCAGGAAACAATAATTTAAGGTAGAGAAAATATGATATGGTCGTCATCACGTTGGGTGACTGATGTGTGACCTTCTGCCAAAATGTGGCAGCTCCGTCACGTTTTCGGCCAGTTTTCGAGGACAAAATCGAATGGGGCATCACATTGAGCAACCTTATGAGAAATCTGTTCTCGCCAAGTTTTTTAAATACAAATTGCGCTACTTTTGGCGAAGACGAATTTCCATCTGATGCGCAACTGAGACTGCCCCATACAAGTTTTGTCAATTTAGAGTCGTCGCCCGCCAAATTATGTCACGCTCTCCACGTGATGACGACCATATCATATTTTCTCTACCTTAAGTAAAACGAACACGATCATCATGTGGACTCAGAATCAAAGGGCTACTAATAGTTAATGTAAGATATATAATGCGTGCGTCAAAAAAGACCACACGAACACGGGCGAAATAGTACATGATGCATGTCCGAGCATGCAACTATGCATCCTCGTCCTCTACTTCCTCTATCCGGGCATTGCGACTGTGCGGCCGAGAGTCCTCTGATCCTGCAACTTCTTCAATGAAGGCACCCCCATTATCCTTGTGCTTGTCAGCGGACGACTTCTTCGATTTCTTGTCGCCTTTTTTCTTCTTGGTCTTTGTTTTTGGGAGATCCCATTCCCAGAGAGGAATAAATGAATCAACCTGGGATAATGAGGTAAGCACAACGTGTTAATCCAACTATCAGAAGTGACGCACGAATCCAACGTCAGCGAAGAGCTGAGGGAATATCCATATTCCGGGACTCGCGACGACGATGGTGATGATGTAGAAAATGAGGCGAACAATGGCAAGCGCGAAGAAGAGCCCAATAAGACCGAGCATCCCCATGCTCAGATACCACACGCCAAGGCGCATGATGGGTGGCCACAGCGGGAACATAACGCCAGCCAGCATTATCGCAACCATCAGGATGCCTCCAGCATATGTCGTCCACTGCGAACCCTCGTAGAACCAAGCGTAGTACTCTTCGGGGCCGAACATCTGCTCGGGGATGATCTGGAGCGCCTTCGGCGAGGCTGACGAGGATCCTGTGGGGGCGCCACGCTGGACGCGGAGGAAGAACGCATAGGCGTTAACGGACTGAAGCAGTGTCTGCGCTTCAGCCTCGGAGGTGACCTTTTGTGCGCCTTTCACTTTGGCGAAGGCGGGAGAGAGAAGTGCTTTGATGGCAGACTTTCCTGTTGGGTGGTCAGCGACGTGCCCCCGCGTTGATGACCGCCGGTGGCGCACCTTTGAAGTAGTCCAGACGTTTTCCGTTCAGAGCGCCGACGCGGATTTTCATGCCCGCGCCACCTCCTCGCAAAAACTGGGCAACTTTCTTGACATCAGGGGGAGCTTTTGCTTGCTGTTCCATTTCGGTCGACCGAGCGACTTCAGTTGTGGTGTTCTCTTTAGACAATTCAACACAAGATGGACAAGGGTGCTCAGCGAGAGATACTTACGATCTACAGGCGCAGATAACGCGCAACTGCCGATGGAGCCCGGCTGCGGTGGGGAGAGTGGTTGGTTGAAGAAAGAAAGCTTGTGTGCTGGCGAAGGGCACGGGCACGGGCACGGACACGTCACAACACTTGACGCGACGGTACACTACACAGCCACATCTAATCTCGGCACTGTCAACTCGCTGTGCACAAACACATTACACGCAGTAAGTACTATTCCAGGTTGAAGGGGTGATATTTTTCTGCGTTGCGATGCCACTACACAGGTAATTGACTTTACAATTCAAGGTGGAGTTGGAAGCCTCCACCAAACGTGATTGACCAATGACTTCAGACTGACAGCAGGTTGCCAACTACTCTGCCGCTGTCGGCTGACTTGTTGTGGCAAGTACTGCTTTACCTACAACGATGCACTGAGCAAGCCGGTAGTATTTTAAATTGTGAAGGGTAAATATTGGTACTGACCGGTGCTGTTGGTGAGTCTCCAGAGATCTGGCGGAATTTACCTCCCCCGATTCAATGGAGTAGGCATACCAAAAGTATATTACTATCCACGTTGGTCCACGTCGGGTTGCTGGGTTGAGTCCCAGTTGAGCAAACCTCCCTCGTAAACGGGCTATTTGTACCGATATTTATTGGTTTATTATAAAAAGAGCAAGTTTCTGCTCAGGCGCATCTAGATGCGAAGCTCTGCCAACTGTGAATATTCCGACCGATCAGAGTGGGATGATTCCAAGTCCCATCGCATATGTCACTTACGATGCCAAGGCTGAGGCTGATGTGTAAGTGTAGCCCACCACTCAGGGATAAACATAACATATCCGCGCGTAGATCTTGCCGCCGACCTTATGGACGGCATCGGCCACGTTCTTCCGCCCACTGGATGTTTAGAGTCCCACAAGTCGGAAGCATGAGGCCATTCGGTTCTGAAAGATGGTGTCAGCCTCACGCGATGCTGTGGACGTACCCTTGGTGGGTGATCAAAACGCCTTCCACGACGATCACATCACTCCGACGCCGCCTGCGATGCGCTGAACGTAATACTCCTTGATGAACTCGGCTGGGTATGCGATTCCTCGTCAATCGTCAACGCCGAGATCATGATGTGGTTCTGCAGGGTGCTCGTGCCGATTTTGAGAGGGGTGAAAAGGGTTTAAGTTGACATCGTTTCAATCTGAGTGGAATTCGAGGGTGGTGGAAAAACGAAACGGGCGGCTGTAGTAGCCGGTTGGCATCGAACAGACAAACCAGCGGAGCTTTATTGAAAAATGGCGTGATAGAGTATTGGACAAAAGGCCATGGAAGATACTTGGAAGACGATTTAGTAGCTTTGTACATTTGATAACACAATCGATCTCTGCATTGCCGCTGCGTGCGTAGGCTTTGTGATATTGGAACCTAAAAAAATTCTCGTGGCGGCGAGGTTGCTTATTGAGATATAAATTTTGGGGACTACTGACTGCATGATACCAAACTTCATAATCTTATGCCTTCCCACCCCTGAGATCTGCTTGTTAGTCGTTACATTGTTCGTGATATATCATATAGATAGTCGAATCTTGGTTGTGTCGTTAAATAAGAAGGCAAAACCCGGCATGTCAGTTCGTGTTGCAATATGTTTCGAGTCGGTGAGGGAATCGTTGTGTTGTCGTATTTCGGTCGTTCAGAAGCTGAAACGGTGTCGTCTATGTCGAGCAGTTTTTAAGAATGGCAGACCAGAATTCGACGCGCCGAGGAAGGCAAGCATTTGGATATGTTACATCGATTCCACCTGACGAGGAGGGTAGTCAAGGACATGTCGCGATGTCGGAGTCGGTGGGGGAGGCGCTTACAGAGCTCGTACTGGGGTGACGCGTCCAGACGCGAACGGCACCGTCATGACTGCCAGCAGCGAAGGTGAACGGGTCGGAAGCGGCATGATTCCAAGCCATGCATGTCATGTCCCCGCCATGCGCTTGTGCACGGATGAAGTGTAGCAGTGCCCCAGATTCTTGATCCCAGATATGTATGTCACCGGCTAAGTTAAAGTCAGGGAGCAGCAGAAACGCAACCGACGAAATAGCTAACCCTTTCCAGCACAGAGTACCAGTTCGTTGTTTGGCCCGCCGAAGTAACTTGGGCCGGCAAAGTCGACGAGTACTTTGGGCATGTATGTGTGGCTGCACTATAGCATCAGCAGGGAGTCGCAAACGATGACAAGCAAGATAAGCACCGGAGCGTGAGCCTGGAAGTGGTGACCGTGTTGGTTTCCCTGTCCTTGACGAGCTCTAATTTCCACAGCTGAGGGGGCGCCTGAATGAAATAGGCTGTTAGCTAGACGAAGTAACGAAAACGCCCGGGTGTGACCTTATGCTCATAGCTAACCAAAGCAACGAGGCCGCTGTGCGCTGTTTGAGCTACAGTGATGTCCTTGACGTCTTCAAGCACAGGGGTCAAGCTGGAGAGACGGATCAGATAATAAACTTACGGAAATCAGACGAGAACATACTTCTCTATCTGCTTCGTTGCCATATTATATACTAGGCGAAAAGGGTGTTTTAGTGGATATAGTTGTACATGCGAATAATTCACTCACCAACCAACCGTTTCTCAACGCGTGATTTACTTGGCTGTAGATTATTCGGCGAGCGAAGCAGTGGACCTACGCCCAGCAGACGCTGAGAGTCTGGGGTGATCGCTACGTCATGTAGCTTCATGTTTCCAAAGTCATACCAATCAAGAACCTAGATGTAATCATGGGTAAGTAAACACAACTAGTATGAATTTCATGCATTGGACTTACTTTCCCAGTCAAATCCTAAGTCAAGTGATGAGTAAATTGGCCCATCGGTAATCGTTAAATATGGCGTACAATTTTGGTGACAGTAGAATGCTCAATCGAAAGGAAAGCTACAGTATTTGAAGATCAGTTATGCATCGATGGCGTTGACCCCCGCCTGCAGAGAATCTGATTCACCTTCACCGTCCG